ATATATATATATATAAATAATTAATTTTCGATATAAAAAAAAGCGACTGGATAATCTTACACTCCAAACGGCGTCGTTTCTTTCCGATTCCCGTAAACAAGAATCTTCATCGCTCCAAGCTCAGATTTCTTCGGGTTTTTACTACAGATCGGATCAAAGAAGAAATGCCACTCTCTCTGGTTCAAACCACTTCACTCTCCTACTCCTGCTTCCCATCCCAATCTATACCTAATTTCTCCAATTTCGTCAAACCCTCTCATTATCTTCTCCAGAAATCACTCCTTCCTGGATTTGGAGCAGATCCCAGGATAACCCTTCACAGATTTCTTCTTCTGACGAGGAAATCCAAGAAAATTTCCGATGGGTCTGTTCGTGCTTCTCTGCTCGAGAGCCCTGTCTTGTGGGCTGGTCGGATTTGCGTCTTCTATGCCCTTTTGAAAGCTGGGTTGGCTGGGTCCAAGTCCAACCCAATCGTTTCTGGTATCCACATGCCTGTTTGATCCATTAGGGTATTTGATGGATGATTTGCTTGAGAATCATACAACAGTTTGGTAGATCGAACTTATTTTGTGTAGATTCTTGTTTGGGTTCTCTTCCCTTTTCCCTTTTCCCTTTGGTTCTCAAGGAAAAGCTTCTTAGTTTTCCTTGTTGTTGCTGCCTGTGATTGGTAAATTTTAGGGTTGGAAACTGGTGGTATTAGTGTTGAAGATGATGGTGATTTAGGTTTCTCCAAGTGGCTCGAGAATATACGGGGCAAACCAGGTTGGCCAATCTTTTCCATTCTTCTCTGTTACTTCCATATCTAATATCTGCAGTTCTCCATTGTTGTTGATATAAAAGCTCTTTGCTTCTTGTCTCAATGGCTATGTTTCAATAGTGATGTCTCCTTTTGGGAATTGATTTTCAATATCTTGTAATGTGATCAGAGAGGGACGCGGCCGATAAGAGGAAACTCGTGAGCAAATGGCACCCGACGACAAAGGGAACACTCAGAAGGAACTATAGGATTCCGTCCAAATCCGAGGGAAAACGTCTTCTCAAAGCCATTGCTTCCCTTCTCTCGGACGATGACCACTTCAGAGATGCTACTTCCCACAAGGTATCGCCCCCTAAATGATGAACGTTAGCAGATTTTCTTGATCTCTTTTCTTTAATGGTTTGTCGAATAAAACTGGTGTTAGATGAGTATGATTGGTGAGATTGTTAGTTGAAAATTGCTTGGAGAGATTTTAAATGTCATTTTTTACTGTTCATCGTTTTCATCATTTCGAGTTACTATTCTTATGAATAAAGATACTCGGTTAAATGATCGGGTTAGACTCATTCACGGGGTTGCAACAACACAGAAGGCATATTTCTTCCCATCTATTCTCGTCTACTTTCAACCCATTGTATCTTTTGCATATATCTCTGCTTCCTTTATCTAATGGCTCCTTACCCAATTATGTACGTATCACATATATATCAAGCAATGGAGATGGAAACGTCAGTTTTTTCGAAAGGTTTCAGCTTTTTTTTTTGGTAGAAGAAACTTTTTAAAAGAAGTGTTGAATGGTTGCAGGGATGCCAAATCCGGAGGGAGAGCGCACATGGGGAGAGCGTATGTTGCAACAACGTGAGAGCTCTTTTTGACGAGCTTCCAACACCACATTTGATCGTAGAGATCACACCGTTCCCAGCCGGCCCGTTAACGGAAAACGATTACGTTAAGGCCGAGAAGCTCGAGAGGGTACTTAGGTCAGGCCCCAACATTTGAAGCTACCTGTTCAAAGAGTTTGAGCTTTAACTGTTGTCCTGTGTTTTAATAATCATGGATATGTACATAATGCACGTTCCGTTTTTATGACAGACCTTTCTCTCAAAGTCTCCATGTCGTCAAAGTGTTAGTCTCTGATACTTACTCTTTTTAAGGTTTTGAAATTTAATCCCAAAAACACAGGTTCTGAGTTACATCTTAGAAGATAGTCTGTTCCTGTCTTGTCTTGAAAAGGTGAAAATCTGCTCAAAAGAATATCAGGGATACAGGTCCGCATTCCAAGATTTGAAGGTATTCGACCCTGAACCCGAACTCGAACCTGAAGTTTGTAGATCTAGAGTCTGTCGTCGGATCTATACGGTTTGGATATCCATGATGTCTCGAATACTCGGATATCTGTGGATGATCCAACCGCCCACAGATCCAACCGACATGGAGATATCCACGATAAGCAAGACGAGGGGAGAGAAGCGAAGAGACGTACCCGAAAAGTGGAGAAGGGTGAAGCAAGGCAAGACGCGAGAGACGACGACGAAGGGAGGTGACAGAGCTAGACCCAAAGGTCAGATTCTCGATGGCATCGGATCCGAACTCATCTCATCTCATCGGTGGATGAATAGTCGGGTTTAGATATCCGATTCACAGATTGGATCCGATATCCAGAAATCGGGATCCTTTGCTCCGGTTTACCTGGACAGTCATTCTATTCTGTCTCAACCCCATTCAACATTTATGATTTAGCCTTGTTTTCAGAATCTAAAACCTCCATGACAGGAAAGCGTGAGAACACAGATCTACAAGATGCACAATAAATCAGATAAATCAGATAATCTCTTCAATCTTAGACACAAACACAGATTTCTTTTGCATCTATGAAAAAGTAGATAGAACATTATAATGCCTCCTTTGACAATCCGTAACACCACCAAAGTACCCTAATGAAGAATATGTAGCCGCTGATTAAAGCCTGCACTGAAAACAACCATAATGCAGTGACATCCTCAGACGATTTCCAACTGTGGCAATGGCATCATAGAGCTTCGTTTCATCCGTCCATTCCATGATCTCGGGGTTTAGCCATCCGTAGGTGAAAACGGGTCGTAAACCTGATGCCTGCCTGTGTTGAACCGCTGGTGGTTTTGTGGCCACCCACCTGGTATCGGGTTATCACCCCTGAAAACTGGTCTCGGTGGAAGAGGTGCAGAAAGGTCGGGAAATTGGGCTCCCGGAAGAAAGTTTCCCGGTCTCATCTGCAAAACCTGAGGTCCAAAGCTTTGCAAATTCGGAGATCTTGGGTTACCGTGAAACAAACGAGGCAAGTGACTCGGCGGTTGATCAACTGGCCTGCCAAAGTGTTGCGGTCTTGCAAAACCCTGCATGAAAGGTTGAGGCTCTAAATTGACCGCCGCGGGTTGAAAGGTCGGGCGAGGGAATTGAGCGCCTTGCGGGGTGCGGACAATGTTTGGCTGCTGAGGTTGGAAAGTGAAATCTCCTTGCAGTGGCCTTGGAGGTGCATTTGTGGACTGGTTTATGGAAGGAAAACTCGGGATATTAACAGGGATGGGACCCGAAGGCCTGCCACCCGGTAAAGATACCGCCATTGGGCGCAGAGAACCACCAGAGGGATATTCAACCTGATGATTGAAGGAGATACCAGAGGAAAAAGAAAAGGATGTTTGCTCGATACCCGATTGATGAGGCCTGAAGTTAGGAGCCAGAGGCCGTCCCAATTGGCCGGAGTTGCTTGAAATGATGTCCGGTAAAGGTCTTGGTCTAAACCCGATGCTAGGTACAGATTGAAGGGCTGATGATGGTGCTGACTGCCTCATAATCATAGACTGTGGTCCCATTGGCTGAGCTTGATTGCCAGAAAACATAAGCGGACCCATAAAACCAGGTTGAGCTAAGGAAGCCTGTGGACTGGGCACTGGGATAGTCCTTGGTGGACCGGAAAAGCCAACAGAGATCAGCTCTGGTGCACGAGGGACTTGCATGGGTGATCGAATTGGAGCCTGGTTCTGACCAGCTGGACTTGGTTGCTGACCCGAAAAGGGAGCCTGGTTCAATGAATTGGCTGCCTGTTCTCGTCCCGGGATTGGATTTCCGAGAATTGGAGCAGAGGAATCAAGTGGTGGATAAGCTGGAGTCTGGTTTGTAGCCAACGTACCATACTGTTGAAATTGGGGAATTTCTAGACAACCACCTACCGGATTTGCAGAACCCGCATCTATGGCTGTACCGTTGGTGTTGTCCGGAATGCTTGAACTATCCTTTGGTCCAGAAGCCGAAGCACCACCACCAGCTTCTAGATTTCCC